AACATCTAAGATAAACTAATCAGGTTTTAGCTCCTTCACCATCAGAGGTCATCAGCTGGTCTGGATCCTCAGGAGGACCTTAGAGATGGTCTGAATGACTGGAGGAGGTCATGGAGGTCAGAGGAGGGAGAACAGCTTCTGATCGCAGTTTTCTATGTTTTCTATCTGCTCATTTCTCTCCTTTCATCTGTGAACTTTTTTCCACCTGAGAAGGATGATTGTGGAGGAGCTCTTCCCTTAGCCAGCTGTGTTAGCATTCCCAGAAGGAGCTATGCTAATTAGCATTAGCTCATTCAGGGAAGGAGCAGACCGACATAGAGCTGCTGGGATCAGCTGCAGATAGAGAGCATAGAGCTGCTGGATCAGCTGCACCTGATCATAAACCCAGCAGATGGTTTAGTCAAACCGGCTTATCAAAGCTGACATCAGTCCATCTTCTGCATATAGAAATTAAATCAGTGATCTATAAGAAACCAACCATAGAGGGAGACTGAAGGCATGAATATCTGGTTTCTTTAGATCTGCGTTAAGGAATCTGTAGATGTAACTTCCTGCAGTTCCACCAGTCAGACATGAGCTAACGATGGAGTTCTGTTCAGATCAGGAAACAATCAGCTCTTTGACCAACAAGCACGGCGAGGGCAGCATGGTGCTGTGGGAAAGACTTTCTTTGGCTTCAACGTTTGATTTTCTACCACAGAGGAACAATTCATATCAGCTTAGAAAGGAAGGAGCAGACAGAGGCGGCGTTCCTGCTAACTTCATCACCAAGGGCTCTGATTGGCTCACAGGAAACAAACACGCCATCATCACCACTGGCAGCGTGACGCAACAGGAAGGAGAGCAGAGCAGAAAGCCTCCAATCAGAGGTGGAGCAACAGTTTCCTACCTGAGCCGGCATCCAGGACGCTGCTTTGTCCTCTGCGATCCGCCACCAGGCGGGAAGAACCGGGCATGCTGACTGGTTCTGATCGCACCGGCTGGATCCTGCAGACGGAGATCAGAGACGCGTTCAGTCCTCACAGCTACTGAGCGTCTCCACGCCGTCGATCAGAGACGCGTTCAGTCCTCGGAGCTACTGAGCGTCTCCACGCCGTCGATCAGAGGCGCGTTCAGTACTCAAC